GGGGGGGGGGGGGGTGAAAGCAGGTGTCCACAACGACGGTCACCTTAGCAACTGCCACCAAACGGGGGATGGTCACATTTGCCAGGGCGACGGGGGGGGGGGTCGCTAGACGAAGGAGTTCATGGCGTTGACGGGCGACGGGGCCTCCGAGCTCTCGTTGCCTTCGTGCGTGTCCTTCTCTTTCTTGCCGCTGTACTGGCCGATGAACGAGCCGTCCTCGTTGAACTGACCGTCCCCGCCCTCCCCGTAGTCCACTAGGCTGTCGTCGCTCTCGTCCCGCCGCACCGTCCCGTTGGACGGCGTCCTGCTGCCCTTCAGCGGCTTGTGGTCCTCCGTGTCACTGCGAAAGAAAGGGGAGATGTTGGAGTGGGGGGGGGGGGGGGGGGTTTCACTGAGGAAGAATTCATGCAGGCTGCAGATCTGCAAAACAGTTCGTACGGGCTCCTCAAGCTTTTTTTTTTACACATCAGCAGTCTGGCTTTTCCACTGCACAAGTATGGCGTCCTGCGGTAAACCCACCAAAGCTGTGGGGGATCAGCAGCTTATTTCAACAAGTCTGTTACTGACACATACACAGGTTTTCCAGTTAGAGGCAAAAAAGTTGGCTCTCTACGCTTAAAGTCTCTATACGTGTACAGTGGAGCAGCTCAGGTACAGAGTACGTCTATTGTGTTAGTGCTGAAGAGGTTCAAGCCTGGGTGCACTGCAAGAGAGGATTTTGCAAATGCGTGCCGCTCAGTCCTTTGCAGCGATTCCTGCGTTAGAAAGCAGTTTCTGCAATAATTCCACTTTGATATGCTTCCGGTTTACATGCAGTAATCAAAAATGCAGTCGACAAGTCAGCACTACCGAATACATCCCTGTTTTAGCACCATGTTTGTGTAACAAATACTAGATCTAATCAATGAAAGTCTAGCTCTGCCAGTAAACTAATGTGTAAGTTTATTAAATTTGTATTTATGAAGAGAAAGTTAATAAATCTAATGATTGAAATCCTTGAAAAATGGAAGCTAGAGTCAGTGAAAGCAGTAAAAAATCCTGTTACATTTTAGGGCATCGTAATGTTAAAGAGTTACACAGAATAATGACTTTGGACTTTGTTTACACCTGGCATTAAAGTGATTCTTCTTTAGAGTACTCTCCCTAAGCTAAATGCTAAGAGGTATAAAAACAACTCACGTGTCAGATTTCATGTTCGATTCTTGAATATTTTGTCAACTGGAGAACTTTTTTTTTTTTTGCATGTAGCGAAACGGAAGATGTTTCCTGATACTGATGAAGCGTGGGACACAAATCTTCTGGTTTTATCCACAAACCGTTGCAAAACAGTGTTAAAAAAGTCTGGATTTACTGTCTCTCACAGAAAACCTTCCTTATTACAAAGCAAATTTGAAGTGGCCCTCCTCATATCCTCCAAACTGGTTCTTTTGTCACATTTTCTGTTAAAAACTGTTTCATGCTTCAGCTTGAGAGTTTTTATGCTACAACGGTCTGCTCACTTAGGACTCTCAAAAGTAATTTAGTCATTTAGTTTTTCAGATATTATCTATTTCTTATACTGAATCCACAAGCGACTGCCTCAACCAATGTGGATCTTAATGCCAGGAGTAAACAGTGGCTTAGTAGAACAGAGAGATTGATGTGTTCTGTCCCTGGATTTAGTTTTAATAAAGTTAGAAAAACTTGAAATATGTTTTATGAGTTGCACAAACCGCATGCTGGTTTTACTGCATCTCATCTTACCTCTCCATCGACCTAAAATCCCCAGAACAGAAAGATAAAATGCAAGTAAATGTGAAAAGAAATTCATGAGCCATATTAAATATCCTGTATCTTTACAGGTGAACAGTAACTTCAGTTGTGCAGGATAAAGCATGGACATGGAAAAATATAGAAAGCACAAATATCCAAATAGAAAGCTTTACCAAAAGAGCAAACCTATTTGAAGATAGACCCCTAAACTAGTCTAAAAACTAAAACAACTATTAACGCCATGTTTGATCTGTATCAGGACGAATTAGTATGTGCTATTCAAAGTAAGAGATGGAAAATAAATGTTAAATATTGATATACTGTCACTATACAAGCTTGATGAGATAACTAGCATGTATTGGAGATGAGCCGGTTTATGCAGAGTAGTTTGGGGGTTGCCTTGCCTCTGTGGTGTGTTTGGAAAAGGTTTCTGGTGGGGACATTGTCTCTGCAGCCTGGTAATATAGTCTACATACAAACAGCCGAGTCAGCATAAATTAATAAAACTAAAAGATCTGTTACATAACTGTGACCCGACTGTTGGCATAAATCACTCTTTTCTCACCTATATTCTCCAAAAGTCCCATCATCCTCCTTCATAGGCTGGATCTCAGGGTCTTGGTGAGCATCTTCTTTCTCTTTCACTGTCAAATAAAAAGCGTTTGTCTTTTTAAAATTTCTGCCCATCAGTGTCCATAAGCTGCACATGCAACGTCTGCTGATGTCATAGCCTTACCTGGATATTTTCCACCTTTATTTCTCTTGATGAAGCACACAATGAGAAGCACCAATATGAGGAGAGCGATGGCACACATCAGCCCAATGAACCAGCCCTGCGTGGCGATGTCTACCTGCCGATTGGGCACAGCTGGATACACACAGACACGGGGGGGAGGAAGACGAAGAGGAAGAGTAAACGTGCTGGTCCGAATCTAAACGGAGGCTTCTCAACGGTGGAAATGTTCTCTTCATGCTGAGCAACATTGAAATGAAAAGAGGTTACGAACACTGGAATGGGATTTTTAAAATGGGTTAATATGTTTGATCGCAAAAACTTGGAAAATAAGATGAAAGCAGAAGGACAGAAGTTAAAATAATGGATCTCCTGCCTGGTGACATGCATTAGATCATGTGGCTGTTCTGCACAACAATGACCATTTAAAACATTTTTTTTCCCTTTTTTGTACTGTTTAATCTTTTTTTTCCAGTGGAAGATGAATACATTAGATCATGATAGCAAACCGTGAACCGTGAAATAATTATAAATTTTATTTGCTGAGATACATTTTCATTACTCCTATAAATAATTTTCTTTAGTGTAATGAAAAATGATGATGTGTTCCATGATGTCAAACTTATATTTTCTCTAAACTTAACACTCTCCCTGCGTTTTGCTTAGAATTTATCTTGGAATTTACTTTTAACCCTGAAATCTCCCATTTTATAAAATATAGCAAAACTAAGTACTCAAAAAATTACTGAAATTTATTGAACTGTTCCATGAACCATTCATTGCTATTTTCTATTACGTGGATTCATCTTTCACTGGAATAAAAAAGAACAAAATCACAAAGTGAAATCCCCTGACTGATATGGAATGGCTCGATATGGATATATCTGATATGGAATGGCTGGATGGGAACTGTGACATGCTCTGCACAAACATGGCTGTACACTCATGTCGGAATGGAACTCTGGAAATCTGATTGACGATGAGTTGCAGCTGGCACAAAACTAGCAAAAAAATAAAGACAAACACAGAGCATCTATCCTGAGGCATGCCGCCTCACCTGGCACTGTAACCAACACTTCGTTTGTGCTGTGGGCCGTCCCGTCAGCTCCGTCTCTAGCTACCACTCGCACCCTATAGGACGTCCCGGGCTTTAAGCCCCTTATCGTATGTGAGTGTGTACCATTTACCAACTCCTTTCTCCAGTTTTCCTCACCTGGAATTGGTGCAGTGAATGGAGAAATGTGAGAGTCAGGCAGTAGTTTGGGAAAATTCCTCTTTATAGGATTGTATTTTCATAGGTAAATTAACTCTGATTAGATTTAGAGAAGCAAATACAAAGAGAAGCCTTACTGTTTTCTACAATATACTCCACAAATACATTCTTATGATGTCCAAAGTACTCCCAACTGATAACTGCGCCCTCCTCTGATACAGATGTGTTAACTGTGCCAAACGGAGGGCCAACAGGAGGCACTGAGCACACAAGAGAGACACAAATATTCAAAATGCAAATAAAAGTTGCCTGTATTGAACTCAATCATCTGGATTCTAACTGTTCAACCACATTGTGTGTTCATATGCATGCACATAACATCTCCAGGACATAATAGAGAACAAAACCCAGAGTTCGGCCCAGTTAGGTAGCTGGGTTTTCACCTGTTCTTCAACAACTAACACAAATTCTCATGCAGGGTTGAAAACTACACAAACACATCTGCCCTGTGTTTATTTCACCTATTAGAAAATCGTATCACAACACAGTTAACAACCAGTATTCTGGCGCTGTGTAGACGGCTGCCTCTCCAGTATCTTCTGGTAACCTTAATTTCCTGAGGGAGTCTTCCCAAGGGATCAATAAAGTTCAGTCTAAGTCTAAGTCTAAGTTAGTTGCTGCTGCTGCAAAAAAAAGTCCATCCTATTGCATGCAAAGATTTCCTATTTCGCTGCTGTATTGGGCAAAACTAAATATACATGACTAAAATCTATCATCTATCATTTTTGCCGCACAAAGGTACAGTTTGCGCACATGTATTTAAACCATTATTCCACACAAAGATCTGGGGCGTGAGAATAATCCTTACAAAGAAAAACTATATGTTTTCATTTGTTTAGTTGGACTCTATTTCCTTTTTCTGCTAAATTTCTAACGTGTGGGTGTTCTCAATCATAAACACAGACCATGCTAAATAAAGATTTAAAAACTCTGCAGCACTGAGTTGAGGAGCAGTTATCTGGGAAGGTAATCAGGCACACAGGGAGAGCTTGTACCCTTGTGAAACGGGGAATGCAGAGACTGAGTGATGGGGGAAGTTGGGTGTGGGGGCTCTGTGGGGCCTGAAAGGACACGGAAAAGAGTGAGACAATACAGTGCACAACACGAAAGAAAACATGGCACCGACATGTAGATTTTCAACATGCTGCCGCTCTCACCCCGGAACGTTAAATCTAATTTGTTGTCGCATCCAAAAAAATTAAACTAAGAAGTACTTAATGACAAAACCACAGCATGCAGTTCAAACTTCACAATGTGTCGACCAGTGTGTTAAAATGTTATACACTTATATAAGTAACATGCAATCTAATTTTGATTTAGGGGAGGTGAATTTATATACAAATATGAAGTTCACAAGCACAGCTTGGCATGGAAATCCTGTTTTTATAACCTTACTGTAAATACAGATTATTTTTTCGAACATGCAAGAAAAGTAGAATTCTATTTTGGTTCTATTTTGATTCTAAAAATAGCATGCATAAACTCCCAGTGGCACGCATGGGTTACCTTTGCCCGTCTCTACAGTGGGCTGAATACGAGCTTAAAGAAGAAGAGAAAGAGAAGAGACAGAAAGGGTGTAAGCTGTTGAGTAAGGAAAGTGTTCGAGCCTCTTCATGGTTTTAATTCTTACAGGCATCTCTGATGTCAGTGGGTCTGACCACTAATGAGCTTCCTTTAAGGCTGGTGATGTAAAACTTTGACCTTTTCCTCCTACTGTGACACATAAAGCTGCATATTCAAACAGAACCTCTGTGCAGACAGGACTCACTTGTATCCATGGCTGTGGAGGCCTCCTTTGTGATGTTGGGACCAGGGCCCTTGATTGTTTTTGCATTTAAGGAGAACTTGTAGAGCATGCTGGAGTTCAGGTTGCCCAGGGTAACGGTGGTCTCATTGGCTGGAAAGCTCATTACCTTGCCTGGACCCAGTTCACCGGAGCTATTTACTGTCAGAACAGAAGGGAGAGGTCGGTTATGGAGATAAAAAGACGGGATGAAGGAAAATAGCTAAATTAGTCAGCCCATTTTTTCTACTAAGCCCACCTGTTTGGTATACGAGTGTGTATCCAGCAAGACGGCCATTGGTCTTCATCGGTGGGCTCCATTCCAGAGTGAGAGAGTCCAAACCATGGTTGACCACGTTCAGATTGGAAGGAGGCCCTGGAACTAAAAGTAAAACCAGAGGAGAATTTTAATATCCAACGATATTAAGGACTTTAATACCCTTTTGTAAAAACATGCTGGTTTATCACACACCTCCCTCAGGTGTCTCGAACGTGCTGTTGAGGCTAGGAGGCCCCTCCCCTTTGTTGTTGAGGACCTTGATGAAGAGACTGTAGATACTGAAAGGCTGCAGGTCTGGCAGCTTTCCCTCGCTGAGGTCCCCACTGAAGGTCAGAACGTGCTCCTGCTGATCCGATTGCTCATCTGTCTCGTGCAAACCACGCAGCCGGCGGTAATACACCTGCAGGAAAGACATTCCATATGAAAAAAGGGACTAAAGCTCCTTTTATTTAAACATTGAGAATTTATTCACTCCTTCAAGAAAGAAAACCATTTAACAGATGGTCATCCTGTTGTCACTTGGCCCTGATTGGATGGCAACGGTTGCAATAATCTAGACAGCTGTGTGAACACTTAGTGTTTAAAATGGTACCTTTTTTTCATTCATTTATTTATTCGTTTATTTGATAGGGACAAGTATGTTTCATGATTCATGTCACACACTACAACATTTCAGCTAAGGCTAATTCTCATTGGCCTGTCCCAAGTTAGGCTTTTACACAAAACACAGTGACTGTACAAAAGGCACAACGGAACAAATTACACATTAAAACATCACCTTGTATCCTTGTAGATCGCCCTGGACAGAAGGGGAAGATACAGGCTCCCAGTGTACCTCTGCCAGTGTGCTGTTATGAACCATGACCTGCACACGGTCAGGAGCAGACAAAGGCACTGCCAGACAGAAACAGAAAGTTAAACAACGGCATTTTAGGGATAACTTAGATGGACCAACGCTACACACGTCTTCATTTTGTTTGACATGAAACAAGCAAATGAATCCATCGCCAAATCGACTCACCGTCTTCTCCTGAGTAGCCAATCGCGATTTCAGGAGTGGGGCCGTTGCCGTAATGATTAAAAGCCTGGACTTTGATTTCATACGCCGTGTAGGTCCGAGTTCCAGAAACTACAAACTCGGAAACGTTGGCCACGGTCTTTGATGACCATTCCTCGCCCGCGTCCTTCTGTCTCCACTGGACTTTGTACTCCAGACCAGGACCATTGGACTGGAATCCTGTCAGTGGCTGCACACAGACTCATTTTAATTAGCCTGTGACTGGACAATTAGAATCTGAGACAGTTTTCAGCTTTAATTTCCGTTAATATTCTCTGCATCTATTTTATAATGACTGATCTTATACTTAAGGGGTAAATCTTATGTATGCATGGAAGTAACAGTCAGCTCTCTTACTGTCCAAGAAATGACCAAGTTGTTGGGCTCGGTTCCAATTCCTCGGACATGTGACGGATTTTCATCAGGAGCTGAAAATATCAAACAAATCATAGCTCAGCCTGGACATTTGAGAACTTTTGATACGTGAAAAGTGCAATGATGGCATTCATTACCTGCAGGATTGGTTCTATATTGGCTCGAGCGCTCGCTGGGCTGGCTGAAGCCAACCTCATTCCGAGCCACCACCCTGAAAGAGTAATACACGTACGGAGACAGCTGGAGCTGGGCGGTAGTGCTGGTACCAGCCACCTCGGTCAGGTTTACCCAGGTCCCTGGCTGGTGGAGCAGATCCTCATACTGGATCAAAAAGTCTGGGACAGATGAAAGATGAAAGGTTTAGGATTGTGGTAAATATAGTCAACACTTTAAAAAAAGTTGAATTCATTACATTCTGCAATACATTTGATTGAGCTTCCCCAAAGAACCAAGAATTGAAGTTTGTTTCTAGACCGTTTTAAACACTTCTTACACTGAGTCGGACTGTTGTGCTCGTCTCCAGGGGTCCAGGTGAGCTGAACACTCCTCTCTGTCTGGTCGGTGAGTTCCAGGTCAGTGGGAGCATCGGGTTTCTCTGGAAACACAAAGAGAATAAAGTATTTACAACCGTGGTGTCAGAAAAAAAGCAACTGAAAAAGTACCCTGTCTATTCTAACAAATAAATCAAATAAATAAAAAGTAAACATGAGGGGGTTTATTTTTGAGGCAAACTGAGACTTTGTGGCTTTTGACTTTTGGATCTTTTTTTTAAAGAAAAATTAATTGTACACATGAATTGTGTATTTTACTTTCATATTTGATAGCAAAAGTGATCTATTTTAAGTGTTGGACAGCCCATTTGGACAAAGACACCACTTCTCAAATCTCAGTAACAAGGCAAAGTTATTGAAATAATCAAATGAATAAATACAGTGTTCTGTGACTGAAACTTTGTTGATGAAAAGCATTCCTTCACATCAGTAAATGAGGCCCATGCACACCCACACAGGTGTTTTCACTTCTGGCTGATGAGACTTTGAAGGCTGAGGTGGAGCAAAAGCACCTGACAACTAAGAGGTTGTCAATCAAAGCAGCCTGAACAGCTCAGAGAGGAAGTCTCATCGAGCCTCTGAGGTGAGAACACCTGTCCCACCGTTCTCAAACAGACAGTGAACGTAAATATTCTGTTCTTCAAACAAGGATTTCACATCGACAACTAATCTGAGGTGTGGAAATGTGGCAGGACAAGACTGGATCACCATCAGATGCTGTTACAGAGTGGATGAGGCATGTGCTGACTGAGTGAGCAGAATGGAAGCTCCACTGTTTGTTTACCGTAGACAATTGCTGGAGTGGGAGTTGCCTCTGACAGCCAGAAGAAAGAGTAAAGTTTAAGAAGCGGATCAGATGTTAGTGACAGATATTGTAGGAAAATCACAACAGCAAAGAGATTCAAAGAAACAAAAAAGAAAGACAAGCAGAGCAGAAAAAGAAGTGAGATAGTGGACTGTTAAAAGATACGCTTGTTTTTTTTCCTTTTTATAGCTTTTTATAGATTCAGGTTGAAGTGTGAACGTACCAACGACCGTTAGCATGGCGCTGGCCGAGTCCTGATCCAGAGTTGTGTTCATGATGCAGGTGTAGGTCCCCTCGTCTTCATCTGTAACGTCTTTGATGGTCAGACTGTCCGTGTCCACCTCAAACCTGGAGTGATTGAAAAAGATTTTTCCCAAATCAAGCCCCGTTTTTTTTTCTCCACAGACCGCAGGTTTTTCTGCCGTCAGTCGCCCGGTGCTGTCTCATGCTCTGCCGGACCTCTCGTCATCTGGCAGCTCTCCTCTGTCCTTCAGCCAGGTCACCGTGGGAACGAGGGAGGGGTCGTGTTTGACTTTGCACTCGAACACGGCGCGCATTCCTCTCTGCACCACTTTGTACTCCGGCTGCTTGAGGATGCGGGTGGGCTCTGGAGGACAGAAAGATGACACATTTTTGCTTAATACAAAAGGACCTGAGGAATGTAGTGTCCGTCTAACAGCAAAACAGGTGAAATGTATTCATATCTGAGTTGTTGTTAGAGTTTATTGACCTTTCACTTCCAGGACGACGTGATTCTCTTTGATTCCCAGGTTGTTGGTGGCGATGCAGGTGTACTTCCCACTGTTCATAGGCTGGGCCACGTTGATTTCCAGCGTGCCATTCTCATGGATCACGTACAGCTCGCCACTCTTGATGCTGATCTGACTGTCTTTGAACCTGTGTTGACAGCAAACTGTAGCATCAGTATCACAGACTGCGACTTTTTGCGTCAAAGTAAAAAATATACCAATGCTGTGAGCCAGCATTGGTATCTTTTAAATGTGAGAGCTGGCTCTGACTATTACCATGTGATGGTTGGTATTGGCGAGCCAAAGGAGGCACAGTCCAGTAAAGCAGGATTGTTTGTGATGACCTGGTACACTCGGTTGGGTGGAGTGAGCACTCTTGGTGGTTCAGCTAAAGGGAAGACAATGGTGCGTTTAAAGCATCACTTGCTGCATCTTCTTCCTGGGCATGAGGCTGTTTTGGGAGCTGGCCAATATCAATTCTAAATAATTATGATAAAACATGTGTCAGCTCACCTAAAACGCTGACAAAAGCGTTAGCCATCAGGTAGCCAAACTCATTGGATGCATTGCACTGGTAGACGGCACTGGATCCAGACTGCACGCTGCTGAGAATCACAGTGTCATCCTCCACTTTGCGGCTTGGATCCTCAGGGGTGTCTAACACAGACATAGAGATCATTTTGCATCCTGATAGTCCTGTGCTTTAGATCAACATTAGCACTTTCTCTGTTTCCTCTGTTTTCACTGCTTCTTCTTATCCTACTTACTGCCTATGGGTACCCCGTTGACAAACCAGTGGATGTTCGGTTTAGGTTCTCCATTAACACGACAAGTCAAGATGCCAGTCTCATTTGGAGCAAGGATCAGGTTCCTGGGAGCACTGATCCAGAAAGGAGCCGCTGGGAGTAATGAACAAGAGAGATTCTTAAGAGAGCCTGTCAGAGGAAATAACTTGGTTTATTTGATTAAAGGGCTGAAGAAAGTGATGGTTAGCCCCCATGGTATAAGATCACTGTATATCTTCGGTGAAACATAAAAAAGAAGATACCTTTTGATGATCTATGTACCTTTAACAGTGACCTTAATGATGTGGTCTGCTGTGCCCAGTTTGTTGGTGGCCGTACAGCGGTAGTTTCCACCGTCAGCTTCACTCACAGAAGAAATCTTCAGCGTCTTCTTGAAGTTGTGGTACGACACCCTGCTGCTCGGCAGCTCCCCTCCATCCTTCTGCCAGGAGATATCTGGAGTGGGCCTGTTATAGAAACCATAGCTATGACTTAATGAACTTACACTTATTCCCTATTTTTTACTTTTTCACAGAAAATCTAAACCTTGCAAAATAACCTTAACTTACAATCCCTCAGCAATGCATTCCAGCTCCAGAGTCTCCCCTTTCAGAACCATCTGGGTACTTGTGGGGCCAAGAGGTAACATGAAACCGGGCCGGCGCTCACCTTCTGGACTGTCTGAACACAATTTGGACACACAACAGGACATGAGAGAACTGGATGTAATGCTTTCCGCAAAGTGTAGATGAGCAAAGTAGGATGTCGGGGCATTTCTGATGAAGGACAAAGCAGGGTCAGATAAAGAGTGATCCATCACGTGTGTGTGATGACCAAACGAAAAATGTAATATTTGGTTTTAGCATTGTCGAATACTTTTCAAAAGAGAGAAGCAAAAGTAGTCTCCCAGGCAGTGAAAGCCATCCATTTGTTTCTATGGAAGCACTGGGTTTAGCTGCTTCCTCACTGCCCATCAGCACACATATAAACAAAGGAAATCACTTATGTTTGTACATATCTTTTAAAATATCTTAAGTTTTGCTTGTCTAAGAGTGGGAAATAGCTGTTAGTTAATGGGCATACCCTGATGCCAGGTTGATAATGATCAAAACTGAAACAGGAAATATTAATTTTAGTCGAATTAATTCTGCATTAAAGTATCTTCTTGACAGAGAAGAAATTGTCGTTTCCCATTATTTTATATACAACAATGAAACCAGACCGACCTAGTGATGAGTGCATGTTAATAAAACCACAGAGGAGAGGACTGAGGTTTAGTTGAAAGTGAGTGTTTATGCCGGGGAGTAAAAACGGGGTAGGGTTCACACTGACAGGGCTGAGTGGGAATAAACCAGCAGCACTCACCACTACGGAAATCAGTGACATTGTATAAAGCAGCCAGAGTCTCATTCATTGTCTCCACTGTAATATAACAAAGAATCAGAAACATGCAAAACTAGGATGTAAGCAGGTGAATGTTTAACTGCACAGTGTTTTTTTTTTACCATCAGTCAACTTGTCCACATTGAAAAAATATTAAAATGTTTTTTTGTTACAAATACTTGGACAAATTATGAGTGTTTCAATACCTATTATGGATTAACATATTTGGAAAACCCAGGGAAGGTAGAATACAGCAAAAGGAACCAGAGTTTATCTACTATCAAACTTGATAAGGAAACAAAAGGTCTGTAACAGAGAAAAACATCTTCCAAGTTGAAAAAGTGGTGTAATAACAAATAATGACATTGTAGAGCTGCTCTATACAATCCGAAGTCAAGTACTGACTTGGGAAAGCTTTCTTTCTCGTAAACAGCAGCTGACTTACTGTTCAGCACACTGACTGAGATGGGCTGTTTCTGCTGGATGGTCTGCGTGTGGGGGAATCGAGCATAGCAAATGTAGTCGCTCCTGGTGTCTTCTGGGAGAACATTGGAAAAGTACAAGTCTCCGTTCAGGGCCTGGGACACTCGTTGATCCAGCGGCAGCTTCTGAAAGTCTGTAGTGTTAACAAAAAAAAATTATACTTATACAAGAGAGACCACCTCAGTTTCCCAGTATCAGTTTGTAGGGTTAAGTTGGCTTATTTTTCCTCACTCTATATGAGTAAAAAAAACTGATTGATTGTGGTTAGGGGAAAAAATTTGAAACGCATTGATTATATATATTAAATTGTGTCCTGTCTATTGTGCATTTCTATATGCAAATGACTCACTGTTGTCCATCCAGAAGATGACAGGTGGGGGGAGCCCAGCAGGGGGTCGGCACTGCAGCACCAGAGAGACCCCCATCTGCACCACGATGGCCTCATTTCTCTCCTTTGACCATAAGGGGGACCCTGTGAGTCACAATCCAACTTATTACAGAGTGCACCATGATACACATTCAATCAACTCCACATAAAGTAGAATTAATCTTATAATAGTTTAAAGTTATTTAAAAAAAACATTTTTAAATGTCTTACTGGACTGCCTGATGACGATGTTATTGGACAGAGCCGTGCCATGCTCATTGTGAGCTGTACACTGATACGTTCCCTCGTAGGCCTCCGCTTTCTCTCCGCTGATATCGATGACCAGAGTTCCTGAACCGGGCTTCATTACCACTTTGGAGTCTTTATCCACATCGAAGTGGCTTCCGTTTCTCGTCCATGAAAAGCTACAATCAGCAAGAGCAATAAAAATCATACTCAAACCCAGAGGAAAAGCATGAAACGGGAAATGACACAGTGCAGATCATTAAAAAATGATCACAGATGGTTTAAGGTTTCTCAATCAATCCTCTTCCTCTGACCCCTATAAGTGGTGGGCTGGGACCAAAATAAAGCGAAACCTTAAGCACTCTTCCAGGTGTGCTCCTCAAGTGCCTATCTCCAGGACAACAGTTGCTATGGCTATTTTTATTTTTCGCTCAGCTCTGGGTTAAGTTGCCCCTCAGAAGCACAGAGAGGAACCACAACAGTTGCAACCGACGGCCTCACCTGGGCTGAGGCTTCCCTTTGGCCTCACAGTGGATGACGATGTTCTCGCGAGGATCAAAGATGTAATCCTTGGGGGACTGGAGGGTTATGGTGGGGGGCTGAGGCACTAGAGACGCATGAACACAAGCGTAATTCAGACACACACTTTGACTGAGACTTACATATTTGTAATAACGTGCTACATGTGCAAGGAGAGCATAATTATGCAAGCATCGTGCAGCAAGCTTCTGCGTTTGGCCAGACCTGACCAATGAGATTTGTGGAGCTGAAGCACACCGCAAACAGAGACACAACAGCTGTCTGACCCCCTGATCTGAGCGCTTACCATCACATCAACCAACATCAACCAACAAACACTCCGAGCCAAGCATTTAATTCAGTTACAGCGCTGAAATAAATGACTGCATGCCACACAAAGGTTAATTAATGCAGGTCAACAGCAGAAAGTCCACACCAGAAGCCACAGCAGCGTTTTTGGCCAACTTACATCCTTCCAGTACTTTAGCTTTTTGTCCACAGTGGCAAGCCGTACCACGGCAGCAGAATATCGAGGAAAGGTGTTAGTTCGGATAGGAACAGAGAGCAGGTTCATGTCAATCTTAGAGGCTAAGCCGCTTTAGATAACCTCGATTTCTTTAGAGAAGCTGGTGCAATGGATGTGATACAAAATGAAACATGCAGACAGAATATAAAAGAAGACTTTGTCTTATCTGTGAAACAGAATAAAGTAAGTGTACCCCACAAAAAGAAAGCATGTAGGAAAATATCCATTACCTATGCAAAGAGCATGAGGTATTACCACAGATTATAAATGTAAAAAAGTATGATTCAACGAAAATTAATGAAGATGATACTCACGATCAAGAGGCACTTCAAGTGCTGCAGTCATGTGACTCACGAGCGTCAATAACACCGCTCCGAAGCCTGGATCCCACTTCCTTTTCCTGTCCATTTTTTCGTGTGTCAGAGTCACAATGATGATCTTTGTTCCCAGTTCAGAGCCAGATGACAGATGAAGAATTATCCAGTCTACACAAAGGGGCAGAAAATTGGGGTTGAAACAATGATATTTCTAAACTTATTGAGCTTGTTTTCAGATTTGGCTACAAATCACAGCGTGACACCATCATCTTCATACCATCCGGAATCTTTAAAATCCTTATAAAGACACAGATATTTCTGTTGATTTTACAGGAATAGGCTTTTATGCTGCTACAAGACATATGGATCATTAGAAAAGTCTTAAAAGGTGAATGGAGTCCTAAATGATATGTGGTATAAACTGTAAAAAGAACTACAGTATAGAAGCTGTAAATATTTAGTCTGAGCTGGTAAAGGGCTTTCTTTCACAGTATGCTTTGCCTCTCATGTCTCAGTACCCGTCGTGGCAGGTCTTAAGTCACACGCTTCAAGTGGCTTATGTATGGATAATTCTGCCAGCACGAAGTCTAAACAAACTTGATCTCTCTTCTTGTACCTTAAACAGAAGTTTTACATGTCTGTCCTTTCCTGTTATTTACATTTTCTACTGATGTAAAACAAAGTCAGGTAGAGGTGCCCAACACACACTATGGGGTGTGTCATTCAAGTCTTGGATGTCTTTCTAAAGTTTATCTGCAGAGAATTTAGAGTTGGTTGTCTCCACCAGAGCCAAGAGGCACTGATACATCCTGTGCCCACATCCGAGCTGCCACGTCCTACACGTGCTTGCCTGCAAACATGTGACATGTGAGTGCACTCGCCTGGAAAAAAACGCATACATAAATGAAGAAACATATAATATCTGCTGGCAATGGTCCAGCGTGCACAAACGCACGACGTTAGCAGAACCATCCCTTGGCAGCGTGTCACATGGATCCAGTTACACATGGAAGCAGCTTCTGTTGTGCACTGGGTCACACACAAAGGAATGTCTGACGCGTCACAAAAGCACAAAATCACTTTGGCATTTTTTGGCCAAAATGAAGAAATGATATATGTTTGATTTTATCCAAACTGAGCATTAGATGGTTTGAATTTTCACTTTCAAAATGTTATCGCAACAGATCAATGAGTGTCAGTGTATGTGTATTTTGTCCCATAAAGAAAATCATCCCTGTGGAAAGGTTCACCAAAATAAATGCAAGATCAAAACAAATTTATTAGCAAGTTCACGCGTCACAATAGCACAAAATCACTTTGGCATTTTAGGCCAAAATGAAGAAACGATATATGTTTGATTTTCTCCAAACTGAGCATTATATGGTTTAAATTTTCACTTTCAAAATGTTACTGCACCAGATCCATGAGTGTCATTGTATGTGTACATTGTCCAATAAAGAGAATCATCCCTTTGAAAAGGTTCACCAAAATAAATGCAACATCAAAATCAATTAATTAGAAAGTTCACTAAAAGAAATCACAATAAGTGGCCTTTAATAAGGTGTGGAATTATATCATAAACCAGGAAGTCTGTGTTGACTTCACTTTTACAAAAGATTGCTATCTTTATTGTAAAACAGGATGACTAGACTGAGAGGCTTAAAGACCTCTAAAACTAACTCCAGAGGGCAGTTGTGGTGAAACAGTGTGCAATTTGTGTCTCTGTGCATCTTCAGCTCCTCATTATGCATGACTACCACCTGCACCCCGCATCAGTATAAACACACAGTCACGGCTTACGTAAAAGGGAAAGTGACATGTGCGCGGGGGGGCCGAGGCCTTCAGAGGAATCAGAAGGAGAAACTATGAGTCTAGACCAAGGTCAGTTACTACTCTGCAGGATAGGAAACATGTCTGAAGGCACGGAGAGGAGGAGTGAGGTAATGAATACGCGCACGGATCTTATCCAGCTGAGGTAGGCAGTACGCGTGAGCTGATACAACCCCGGGACACAGCTAATTACGCTGACACGTCCCATTGGATATTACTCTCACTACGGGCTGAAAAGCAGGGAGGGGAGTCGCCACGTTTACGGAAAACATTAGACGCAGTTCGTGCACGCTAAATCTCTTAATCTCATTGTGAAAAATTCTGAAATGATCATGCAAATTTAATATCGCTTATTTTGATTAATTCCAGTAATGCTCCACATGCAGCTGCAGCAGACACAGCTGTATCTGCAGGTTTACCCCCCTGAAAAGTTATAAACTAATAAACAGAGATGGTATGAAACGATGAAGATTTAATATAACTGAATTCTAATCTGTTTTTTATTAACAACAGTTTCAGCTGCCAACATTGTGCCAAAAAGTTGTTTATTTGCTAGAAGAGGGCATCTAGGGGCAAAATGGCAATGAATGTCAATGTCAGGATGTAATGCCTGACAAAAACAACAAAAACAAATAAACTACACAAAGCATCAGAGTGAATGTAGCACAAAAACATGTCCGTCTAATTAGATTTAAACTACCAAAGACAAATAGCTTTGATTATGTACATTTTTTATCTTGGAGTCACACTCTGAGCTCCATGTCAGCTCAGCTCACTTCACTCAGTTTCTCGTAACTCGCCGTTCTCGTGCGTGTCGGCGGTGAAGCGTGAACATCTCTGGACGTTATCTGGCGTGGCAATATGTGAGACTGCAGACTGCTTTGACTGTGCAGACCTACGCTGTCAGCTCCCCGCTATAAAGACTGATCCCCCATGTTTGAACACAGCAGGTGTCTGTCTTTTCTCACCAAATGAGCGCGTGCTGGTCATAGTTGGTGCACAGATATGCAGAGATCTCATCACAAACATCAACCGATCAGTATCAATGTAGCACATCAACACAATAATGTGATTTCATCATGTCCAGCTGTTGCTCCGGCGTATTTAAATGTCTGAAAATGCCTTTCATGAGCTTGAACCACACTGGCAGCAGGGTTCGGATTCCCTCTTTGATGTTCATGTTTCCTTTTGATTTCTTTTCAACTCTTTAAGTTCGAGATAGCAGCTGCTTGCTTTGGCTACATATTCAGAGGAGATTGGCAAAAGAACGTTTCTTATCTCTTCAATAGAAAGCAAACTAAAAAGAACACAACTCCCAGTTTGTCATTCAGCACAAATTGCTGTTTACTTGAAGTAATTAAAACTATTTTGCAGTTTGTCTGGCTGAACTGCAACAGAGAGAAAACAAGGCCTGGGAGATTTGAGATAAATAACTGAAATAGGAAACTTTTGCATGAATACAAAGTGGAGATGGACTAAATACATAGATGCAGTTACCAAATGTCACAATTTCCACACTCCATATAAAAAGTGGTGACTGGAAAAAAACTCCCTGACCACAGAAGCATCAAATTGAACTTTTACCCTCAAAGTGAGAAGGGAAAACACTGTTTGATACCTTGTTTTGCAGCCTCAAATTTGCTCATGTGTTCATTGCGCCTGTTATGTGAATGTGTGCGCTATTACAGGCTGTGCCATGAGGCTGTACTGTGCAGCATGGTGGAAACCATTGCTCTGGCAGCAATATTCTCCACAGAGAAGCTCGATTACACACACATGCACTGCTTTACATTCATCCCAAAGCTAAATGGGTTACATCAAATTTGCGTTGCTCATTCCCGACAAGCTGAAATTAACAAAAAAGCAAGCTCAGAATGAATGGAATTACTTACTTATTATCCGTTCCCATCTCACTCTTTTCTGTCACTGACTGAGATCCCAGCCCTTTTCTGTCCTCTCCTCTATTTCTCTGCATCATTCTGTTTACTTCTGAAACAGTCCTGTGAGACTTGTGCAGTACATTGTCAAATCAGTTATGAATAATTCCTTAAAATGTATTCAGACACCTGTCAGCTGGCACTGTGTGGCTGCTGATTCTGCAGATTTCTCGGTGAGTGTTTATCAGAAAGGTCCTCAGTCATGGCAAAAGCAAAATACAGGGATGCCCATCAGGGATAAAAGGGAAAGTGTGTTATTTGGAGTCCATCATTTAACAGGAGTGGATGTCCCAACAGGCTCACTATCAGGTAAGACTGCAATTATCAGGGAAACATTAAAAACATGATATATGGTGCATCCTTCCTCCTGCCTGATGAGACATTTTGAACAGGATCCAGCCCTTTCTGAACTATAAATAAGATGGAAAATGTATGACTGAACAAGCCATTAGTGCTTGTTCAGTGCAGAATACACACCTTTTTACACTTTGATTCAAAACTCTCATGACTTTCCAACACTAAGTCAAAATGATTCAAAGACAAACTAACCTTTTTAAACATAGATGAAACCCACCATAACAGAAGAGTTAAATCCTTCTCCTTCCCGTGAAGCAGCATTTTTTATCCTCAGTGCTTTTGAGACTACAGTTTGTCCTTATATGTCAAAGAACTACCACTACAGAGCCTCCCAGGGGGCCGCTCTGTAACACTATAGGGGAACGGTGACACACTGTACTCTGCATGCTGTAGAGGCTTTATAATGGTGGTTTCCAAATAGAATCAGTATACAGGTTTCCAGGTTTTGGTCTGATCTGATATTCTGCATGGATTAAATACATCATGGTGACATTTTTACGCATTTTCTTTAACGTTTTTCCATTTCTGGCTCACTTGTCAACCAAAGCTTCGGCCCTTCGGTCACTGAAATAGCAGGGATGAAAACAGCCAACGTCTCTTGACAACAACGGCCAAATAAAGTGACGTGAAACGTGCTGACACAGGCCCAAAAGTCCCCCTTCGGGTTGCAAAGCCCGAAGCAGCTCGCTAAGTTGGTCACACAGCCTTCAGTCACACTAAGAGACACTGAGGGATGACAGCCTGACCAAACAGAGCTGGGAGGAGGAAGAGGAGAGCAGGAAGAGTCACAGGAAGGGATGGTAAACACAATCATCCGCAGAATCACAGAGAGAGAGAGATTTATGAGACAGAGGACTGATAGAATGTATGTTCTGCTATCTGTAATTCATAGCAACATAAGACTGCATTTGCAGAGCAAAACTTGGAGGTAGTTTTTTTTTTTGCACTGTTTCCTGCATCCCTGCTG